AATAAAACATGTCTTCTGCTGCGACACAGTCCCAGACCTCTGTATCTTTTCTCAATTTTCAATTCATCATTAAATGCTCTTTATGCAAGCGTCAACATATTTATTTGTAGAGAGATTAAGTTAATACAGAGGAATGATTTTGGAAAAAGTCTATTTCCTCTGGGGGCGGTACTTCAGTTTTAACTTCAAAGCGTCAAACTAAGATAAGCAACTAAATGATAAATAAAAAGCCCAATCATTTGATCAATAAATAATCAAAATAATTGTTAGTGACTGTATTACTATTGTGTATTCCCCCACTCGCACACATACAGTATAAGCCTATTGTGTATTGCAACAATTCCCTTAGTATTGAGAATAAGCAGAAGTAGTGTGTTTTTCAGTGACATGTAAAGCAGATCAGGGGGACTGTAACAAGCATTGTTAAGTCATTAGGCTAAAGCATTGTACACAGAGAAAGGGGGAGGGAAGACTGTTGGGTGTCCAGGTCACCAACCCTTGACCTCAAGTGCTCGGCCCTGGATCTCCCACATCTGCCTCCCCCATCCCAGAGAGGGCAGGAATGTGACTTCATGAAGAAACATGCTTTTCAAAACACTTGTAGTCCTTTGGTAGAAAATGATTACACAACAACACGTGACACAAGCAGAGTTTGGCTGCAGTTTTGTGGATTTATTAGCTCCAGCGCACACCAGCAAAACTGGTTTAATTTGGATTAAGACAAAAAAGTGTGCTTATGGTTTTGAGTAGCCTAATTGTTGTATTTAGGAGAAGAAGTGCCAGCCGCAACCTTATTATTATAAAGTTATAAAGAGAATAGCAGGAAAAAAAAAATTTGGTTTAATTCTTAAAAGAGATGGTGACCTTTTCAGCTTCAATGTGATAGAATGGAATGAATTATGATGCCTGGCCCAACGTTGCAAATACACTGCACTTTCAGCAGCTTCAGCCATTGGTGATAGAAAGGGAAGCTTATATATATATATATAAAAAATTAAAAAAAATTGTCCACTCACCTTTGGCCCTCCGCGGGCGGTTATCCCTCTCTAAGCTCGGGTCCTCTACCAGAGGCCAGGGAGCTTGAGGGTTCTGCGCAGTATCTTTGCTGTTCCTAGCACTGCACATTTCTGGACCGAGATGTCCGAGGTTGTTCCGGGGATCCGCTGTAACCACTCTTCTAGCTTCGGGGTCACTGCCCCGAGTGCACCGATCACCACGGGCACTACTGTCACCTTTACCCTCCAGGCCCTCTCCAGCTCCTCTCTGAGACCTTGGTATTTCTCAAGCTTTTCATGTTCTTTTTTCCGGATGTTACCATCGCTTGGAATTGCCACGTCCACCACCACGGCTGTCCTCTGCCCTTTGTCTACCACCACGATGTCAGGTTGGTTTGCCATTACCATTCGGTCGGTCTGTATCTGGAAGTCCCACAGGATCTTCGCACGCTCATTTTCCACCACCTTTGGAGGAGTTTCCCACTTAGACCTTGGGGTTTCCAGCCCATACTCTCCACAGATGTTTCTGTACACTATGCCAGCCACTTGGTTATGGCGTTCCATGTAGGCCTTCCCTGCCAGCATCTTGCACCCTGCAGTTATGTGTTGGATCGTCTCAGGTGCCTCTTTGCACAACCGACACCTTGGGTCTTGTCTGGTGTGGTATATCTGGGCCTCTATCGCTCTGGTGCTCAGTGCCTGTTCCTGTGCAGCCATGATGAGTGCCTCTGTGCTGTCCTGTAGGCCAGCCCTTTCTAGCCATTGGTAGGACTTCTTGAGATCAGCCACTTCTGTTATGCTCCGGTGGTACATGCCGTGTAGGGGCTTGTTCTCCCATGATGGGCTCTCCTCCAGCACCTCCTCATCTCGCCACTGCCTGAGACATTCACTGAGTACGTCATCCGTTTTGGCCTTCTCCATGATGTAGTTATGGAGTTTGGATGTTTCGTCCTGGACAGTGGCTCTCACACTCACTAGTCCTCGGCCTCCTTCTTTACGGCTTACGTACAGTCTCAGGGTGCTGGATTTGGGATGGAACCCGCCATGCATGGTAAGGAGCTTTCGAGTTTTAACATCCGTGGTCTGAATCTCTTCCTTTGGCCACCTGATTATTCCTGCAGGGTATCTGATCACTGGCAGGGCGTAGCTGTTAATTGCCCGGGCCTTGTTCTTGCCATTGAGCCGGCTTCTTAGGACCTGCCTTACTCGCTGGAGGTATTTGGCAGTTGCCGCTTTCCTCGTCACCTGTTCGAGGTTGCCATTTGCCTGTGGTATACCGAGATACTTGTAACTGTCCTCAACGTCTGCTATTGTTCCCTCTGGGAGTGAGATCCCTTCTGTGTGGACTACCTTGCCTCTCCGAGTCACCATCCTGCTACATTTCTCTATAGCAAGAATATATATATATATATATATAATTGAAGTGTGCACTTGCACACTTCAATTCAATTATTGGCTTGGTGTTTTGATTCAAATGTTCACCCAGTTTCTTTGGATCAACTGTAATTCTAAATGTCAATAGAGGTTATACACAAATGTCTGCCTCGTCTTGTCAATCAGATTTTTGCACCAGAATGTACATACAAGTACAGCCAGCCAAACACTTCATTCCTTCTTGACAGATTACACAATGTGACTTTCACAGAAGGAACCTCAGAATACAACCCTATAAAAACAAATAATCTATTGTTTTACAACATTGCACAGACTTGCCTGGCACATATTTGTGTTCTGGCACAAGTGGGGCCTTGTGGGTGGATTATATAGGCTGCTATCGTCATACATATTTTAACTTGTCCCGTCTCACAACTGTTGTTGAGTCTACATGCATCTCCAGGCAGCAGAGGAGTGCGGGGGAGGGGCACAATGTGTACTGTATAGCTCAAAGCACACACTCTGTACAGTGATACTGTGCGTTCTGTGAGATATTCACAAAGCCCATACAGGGGAATATAAATCTAGCTGTGTGCTGTGACATAACAATAATATAAGGTCTGTATGTGCATAAAGGGTTTTACATTCATCAGAACATCAATACAATAGACAATAGAGCACAGATAATACAAATGGGATAGATATTTCACCAATAAGAGATTCTATAACACCATAACAAGAGTCGTGTGACTTACAGCACCCAGCCCCCACCCATGCATATCACCATTGATCCTCAGTGCTGTCTGGAGAGGTCATGTGACCCTCATCAGCTTCCCGGCTTGGGGGGAGGGGAGCCATATTGAACCTGTTCTTTGTTAGGAGGTCAGCCCTAGCTCTATGGCAGGAAGCACCACTACCGTAGTACATGGAGTAGACGGACAGCAGACATAATAGAGGAGGGTGTAAAGGGAAAGCAAATAACTCAGGGTTTTGATGTGTGTTTCAAAGAGGCCAGGAGTCAAATCTGGAACAGTGGAAAACAGGCGGTTAGGTTTTTTAGAATGATGCAATTCTGATGTAAGACAATGAAAAATGTGGGTCATGTTCAGCAGCCAAGCAAGCTTACACATATCTGTGTTTCTAGTGAGTAGATAAATGAAATTAATTAAATTGTAATTTATGTAAACCAAAGGGAAATAGTTGCTGCCTTTCTTTGGATTGTGACAGAACTGCCACACCAGCTCCACAGCACTCAGCTGCAAACTATCTGCATGTTACAGTTGTACGGCCAAACTCACACGATCTACAATGACAGAAATGGTACCGATGGGGCATTGCGGTTCATGGATCGATTGTGGTTACATTGCGTCTCATAGTTATAGCCATAGGTAAACTGGATGTATAAGGAAAAGGCACGAACACTACATTTGATTAATATTAATATTTGATGTGACCTTTTCAGACACAGTTTTGGTCCGTTCATTCATTACAAACGGAAAATGTTGTTGCTTGAATGACCCATTACTTTCACTGTTAGAGTGAAATCCCATTTAAACGCAGATAATTATTTCAATCGGATGACACTCAAACAGACAAAAGTTTTATTAGACCTCAGCAGAGCACTGTGTGATGATTACAGAAGTGGAAATGAGAAGAGAGATTATGAGATGAAATCCCACGGGGCCTAGACCCTGGTGGTGATAGCTTGGAGAAGGGTGAAAGAGCTGATCTGGCCGACGAGATGGTAATGGGGAGGAGGGGGGTTGCTGCATGAATGAAAGCTGCTGCTTGAATGAAACTTCCTGTATGATATGAAGGCTTGATGCTAAATTGCTCCCAGGTGAGGATTAGCAGTGTAACGCCAACTGAGTGTGATTGACGAATTGCTGTTGTCGTATGGCGGGACAATTTGAGCACAGTGAGCTTAGTTCTTCCCTAACACAACTATTTAGAACTATTCTACTAATCTAGAGCAACTGTCTGAGGCAAATGGCAAATGATAGTAGCGACGGTGCTTCCCAGCTCACTGGGAATCACTGAGGAGGTGCCAAAAGAACCACAATACCTACATGCCAATCCAAGCGAGGAAACCTAGAAAAATGCATTGAACCCCCACATGGAGAAGCCAAACAGTGTGAGCTTCTCTCGGTTAGCTACTGAAGAAGGAATGAAGTTACTCACAGAATAACGTTACACATAAAACAGTTGAGCAGATCTTGAAATAAGATCATGCTTCTTATAGATATTCCAGTCACGTTTCTGTTTGCACTTCTTTTTACACATTTCCGGAGCATGCAGCTGTTTGTCTGGTTGCGTGACGTCAACAGCAAACCGCGCTCTTCAGGCATGTACCATGTTCATGCCTGAAGAGCATGAGGGGGTTGTCTTGAGGGGGAGGGGTATGACCTAAAGAAAACACAAGATTATGTCGGGTGAAGAGTCCTGTCCACATATCACCTGAGCCACTCACTGTTGTTCTGTATTATACCCACTAGGACCTTGTTTATATCATTTTGAAACCAAGCAACTACTATGAGTATGAGTATCATGATGCTATTTCATTGAAAACATTGACGCTGAGAGTACTCATATGAAAACATTAGACTAAACTAACTAAAATGAAACAGGTGCATGGTGTAAGTATCTGTTTCAAGCTAAATGCTTCAGCCTCTGAAATGTATCTAACATTCTGCTGGCACTACAGGGGAGCTCTGAAATTGTTTTCTGGCAGCGTGGGGCGGCCAGCTCACATATCCATTTATCTGCTCTCATCAAAAATGGATCAGGAGAAGGACTCGTAGGGGAATGCAGCCACAGACAAAAGCACATGCTACTACTACATCATCATCCAGACACAAGACAACAATATCTATGGGAATTGTAAAATATATCCTCGCTGTTTCAGAATTTAAAATGATGGTGTATCCTATGTGCCAATTAAACTGAGATTTCATTAGCTCGTTTCGTTTATGTACTTGTCTTTTGCACGTATATAAATGTATTCCAAAGTGGGTTCACTACAAATGGCAAATAAAATCAATCTGAATCTGTTGGTTTAATCTATATTATAGAACAATGCTGATTAAACCGCGTGTTTGTTCTTGTCTGTATGAAATTCTCTTTTTGACTTAAAGAAGAAATAATATACAAACCTATATTGTATTTAGCACATTACCAATTGGTGTTAAATTTCCAATACCACTGAATTAATTTAATTGATCAAACAAGTGCATGATGTATATATTTCAGAATTAAACAAGAACGCATTCTAATTCTGACATTTGGGGTAGATATGGCCTGAGAAGATTGTTTGGATGACCTGTTTTGGCTTGAAGTTGAAAAGGCCTGAAAACACAAGATGAATGAAAGAAAACAAATTCTGGTGCAAATGTTGACCTAAAGTTGAGGAACCAAATGCTTTGAGGTGTAGGGGCAAGCCAACATAAACAAAAATAGCAATCAATCACATGAACAGAGTGCCATACTGTAAAAAGGCTTCACGCATATGGGCCTAACAGATCACAAACATATGACCTCAGTACAGTCCCAAATAGTGTTATGTTGTCTTTCGTCTGCGCGTAACAGCTTATTCTTTACGGTAACCAAAGGAATGTGTCACACCAGTGTGGAGCAGTAATGATGTCAACTTGTTATTTACTTTCCAAATCTGAATGACTGAGCAAGGCGAAAGGAGAATTAATCAGCCGCTGTGTGACCGGGCAGGCGAAAAAGAGCCGAGCGTGGGGGATGGGGAACCTTCAGAGGCCACAGAGGCAGCGTGCTTCACTGTAGCCTGTGAAACCCGGCTATTTCCTCCTCCTACAGCTCACACAATGCACCAATATAAGGTCACAAAGCAGGGATGGGTTCATGTTATTAGGAGAATGCGTTTTTTTTGTATATCAATGTTATGTTTCAATCATTTGATAATTTGTAACATTGTGTGCCTCAATGGTGATTGCACACTGCATTCTTACGCGTAAAATCAGCGAGTGAATGTAATAATTGGTTGTCTCCAGGTTTAAGGTCATCCCACCTCCTCCTCCTCCTCCTCCTCCTCCTCCTCTTTCTCTCTATCGCTCTCTCTCTCTCTCTCCACGCTGCTTTCTGTCTGCTCTCTCTACCAGCGCTGTTGCCGTCTCCTTTTCCCTTCACACTCACACTCACGCACACACACGCACACACACTCCCAGAGTAGGCTCCCAGCTCTCCCCGCGCCATCTGAAGTCCCAACTCCCCAGCTTTGTTATTCCCCAACTTTTTTGTGTGTGTCTTTCTTCTTTTTGGGCAGAAGACTTGCGTGCGCTCCCGTGTCCCGCGCGTAAAGACGCAGACCCCCCCTCACGATTGCGTCTCTCAGAGCTAAAACGGCGGCGATTGGGAACTTCAATTATGACAAGAAGAAGCAAAATGGGAGGAAAGTCGCTGTTGCTGGCTCACTGAAGTTGGATCTGCGTGTGGAAGAGGAAAGAGGCGGCGGACCCCACGAGTTCACTCTCCCAGTTAAAGGTAAGCATGCTCTGATCAAGTCTGGAGGCGTTTGTTGGATTGCTTCTTCTTTACTTATTGCTTTTCTTTTTTTTTGAAGTTTTTTGAATGTGCTGAATGTGCGTTTTGTGCAAATGGCGTTGATTTTTAAAACACGCTTACCTTAGCCACACGTGCAATGTAATGTTACTTTTTCGTCTATGGAACTTTCCCATCTTTTCTGGATGTAGAAATTCTCAATGAAAAGCTAAAATGTGCCCAACAGAGACTGAACTGCAACTTTGAAGCCTTTTCAATGTAGTTGTTTACTTTACCAAATAGCAGAGTTTTAAGCATAATTGTCTATTTAAACCTCATTTATGGCCCAGATTATTATCTATTCCTTGTATACGTTCATAACAGGAAAAAAAAAAAACTATATTTATATGCTATGGAGCTTTTGATAGTCAGGGTGGGGGATGGGCACAGCATTCAACTGTACTAGACATTGCAACCAGTTTTCAAGGGACTTCTCATGTCACTGTATCACTACCATAACTGTCTGTCTGTTTATATTCTGTCACTCTGCCAGTTCAAGCCTGTTCACACCACAACACCCATAGAAATATACTGATTATTGAGAAAACACTACACATGTGACCATATATTTTAAGTTTGTTCGATTCAGCAGGTAAAATCTATCTCATAATTATATTGGCCTAAAGTTGAATTGCAAACCATTTTTTCCTCATTTAGGCCTGTCTATGTTTGATTGGTGCTGTAGAAGGTCATTGGTTCAACCTCCTCTACTTTTTTTCTTTCTTTAATGATCCAAAAATAAGTGTCTATTTACTTTGTCCAATTTGGCAACAGGCTGTCCATATTTCCATACTAAATGATATTGAAGATGAAACGTAATGTTCTGTGGATGCCCTTAACTCAATCATTGGCCATAATTACAGTCGTTACAAAAACAGCTTTAGTGAGACCAATTAGGACCACAATAGACTTTTTATTATCTCCTAATTGTACATTTCAGCCTCTTGAGTCTCATTTATTGACCTCTCAAATGTGTCCAAACTCAAGTCCTGCTCAGTCATACTGGAATGAAAGAAAAGGCAAGTGGAAGTGAGTCCACTTTGAATTAGGTCAATGCAATTTATCGTTTCAACATCTCCCTGCGAGATGGTGGCACGCTGTAGTCAAATTTCAGGATGTTCAATGTCAAACGAGGCAAATCTCCTTTCCTTTTTTTACTCAGACAAACTCTGCAGGTTTGCGTCTAGAATTTCCTGATGATTTGAAATGTTTGTGTATGAAGAATAATCAACATAATCCTGCACTTGGATCTATTGTTTCATTCATTCACTTTGTTTTCCTTATCATTTGAATGGAGCAAATATGCCTAACCCACAAAGGCGTTGTGGGAAGGTAAATATTGTAGGTTTTGGACATCAAATAGCTACATTTACACAATCTTTCATAAAGCTGCATGAAGTAAAATATGTTTAAATAACTGTGTACAATATTTAGGTATATTGCAATCTACAGCTTCATTCATAGTTCTGGGTTAACCCCTAAAGCCATGATTTAGTTCAGTCTTCCTCCCAGTTTCCCTCAATGAAATTTTTTTTCTCTTTCTATTAATTCACATTAAAGAAACCCCAGTACTTTTTATCGGACTTGGGATTGGCACACGATGTACTCCAAAGTGTAATTCCAGCCTTTTGGATAAATGCTTGGTTTGCGACTTCTTAGCTGAAAGTCTATCATTTCATTATATTTCCAGTCCCTACAATCCAGGAGAGCATTCAAAACAGAAATGTATCCCTGGCTCATAAGTGGGGCAAGGAAGTCCCTGAGAAAGCTCCTGTCGGCTTAAGGCTTCTTTAAATCCCTGTATCTGGCTGTCCAAATATTTCTGTAGCAGTATTTATTTATGATAGGCCATGGGGGAGGTGTGCCATTCTCTTCCTTCACTATGCAGTGCAGTGTGCATGGGCTACCAGCCAACTGGCACACTGATACCCACACACACACTCCAAGCTCTGAGGCACATGCCTTTTTTGACTGGTTTTGAGCATTGTGTGAAATAGCTGTATGTATATTTTTCCATAAAGCTATGCAGGAGTTCTGGGACATAGTTTCCTCATTACTACGACTCTTTCCTTGCTACAGTATATCCACGTCGACATAAATGTGGATGAATGTTAGCTTGAGCTTTGAACTTGTGTCTATTACCATTAGGTTCATGTTGGCACAGCGATGGAGGAAAATCTGTATGCTGGATGGTTTCGCTCTTCTTCGTCTAACCCCCAAAATTATTAGCAAGGATATTAGGATGTTAGATATTGGGTGATATGGTAAAAAAATAGATTGGCATATTGTGCAAATGATGTCACACGCTCAGACAGGATTGTTTGGATGCAATCTAAATGTAAACACCAAGTGAAGAAGTGCTGTATCCATATAGTTCAACTAGTGGCAGGTGATCTTTGGAAAGATGGTTCTTAAGCTGAAAATATGTGCCTTGAAAAGGTATTTTAAATCTTTAAATAAAACTAAACCATGTACACCAGTGTTTCCATGTACACAGTTTACACACATCTTTTGCACTTGTTGTTGGCTTCTTCCCGTGTATAAAAGCCGCTTCCTTCCTGGTTTGGATCTGCATGGTGCTGGGTGTAGTGGTTCTGTTAGCGCCTCCTACGCTTACACTGCTCTCTCCTGGTGAGCACAGCTCTTAGAGTATTTGTCATTTGTCTATAACTATAATCTTGATTTATGCCACTTGTTCTCGTAATGGGCTTTTCAAACATTGTGTGTTTCCAGTTATTTTCTGGACATCGTCCGTGTGTCTGCAGAGATGTGTCAGGACTTATGTCAAAGACTTTCTTCTTTTGACAAAGAGTTTTTTAAAAAACCCCACAATTGTGGTATTGTTGTTTGAACATTCTCCATCATCTGCAGGTGATTTGATCACCATTCATTCTATTATAAAGAAATCGCTTACAGACCTTTACAGAGCCGGTTTCACTGCCAGCTGCAGTCACAGTACAAGCGTGTGCAATATTGATCGTCTTATCAGTCTTTTAATTCATGGGTTATATCTTTCTAATTTAATGCTCCTGTTTTGACTGTCTGCCTGCTATGTTTGAACAAAAGTCTAGCAAAATGACTGCTTGAAAATGGTGAAATGTCACTGCTTTATGTGTGAGAAAGGATTTCACACAACTTTTGACTTTTTACACAAATGTCACAAGAAGCACAGCCTCTCATTCCTTTTCTTTCCTCCTGATGATACCACAGGGGGTATTGAGGCCTGTATTTGTAGGCAATGGTCAGGTCACAAATATGTTGACACTCACAAGTAAAAAAATTTGAAAGTGAAAAAACTACAGGTCTTAATAACAGGGCCTGCAACTGCCTTGGTTAGTACGATTGTTATTTTTGCATACTTTCATTACATTTAAAGGGCAATAATGCTGTTCAAAATGTGTTCCTCTTAAGATTATGCATGTACGAGCTTACAACTTGTCAGATCCAAATGTAGCATCTTGAATAATCAGCATCTTCAGTGTGTTTGAGCTGGTCCATCATTGCAGTGTGCACACTGCGTAAGAAAACCAATCCGTGCACACATTGAAGCTTAGCATCTGGGTTAGTAGCCTTGCTTGTTTGACCCTGACGTTGCAAGAGAAGAGCTCAAGGAGAGTTGGGGGTATTTAGGGTGGCATGAGCAGCTGTTGACAGAGAAGCAAGATCTTCCCATCGCCATAGCAACTATTGTATTGCCCACTCTTGTGTGCTACTGTGTTTATTATGGCTTCATCCTTCACTTCGCTCGCTGCAGGAAGAATGGTCAGGTAAAGGTCCTACTGCATTTTCTATCAACATGGCTGTAAAATGGAAAACGATGTTGCAGTGTATTCAAAATCCTATGTGCGCTGTATCAACATCAAATAGTTTTGTTCTGTTTGAGTGAACGATGTGTTGAAGATTGGGCTGTGCTAAAATTGAAAGATCACAACCTCAATTTTTGTTGGATTGCCACTTTTGAGACCTGAATTACAATCAAAAGATGCCGATAATGTGGTAGTAACGGCAGAAGGGGCTGAGGCTTGTCTAGGCATGGGGTTTACCTCCTATATTCTCATTGGTCCTCACTCTGTAAAGGTTTGTCAATAAAACATGTGCAGAATCTGAATGTCTTGCTGTAAAGTGTGTATGTAATTGCAAGCTAAAGACGCATTTAGTTATTCTTTTATTTGTCATACCAGTAATTTTGTAGTCTTTGTTTTTAAACAAACAAGATAACAATTGAATCAGAAATTGAAATGGTTGAATATTAGGAAAAACATCTTTACATCTGTGTAGCTCTAGTTTAAGAATCACCAGAAGAGGTGTGAGAGTTCCACACATTCAAAGCTGATAACTGTGGTTCAGTCTGTACCATACAAACAATCCACACACTCATGTTGGACAGTCAGTGCCTTGTTTATCCGAGAGGGCATGTGTTCGCCTCCGATTGGTTCAAATGATAGCCCTGTTGTTACACAGTATTGTCAGTGATGTTGGGATTTCAAGAAAAATGGCTGGGTTGTGTGAGATTATTCATGTGGCCTTCTACAATTTAACTCTAATGTGATCTAACTTTAATGTGACGATGTTGAGTCATATAACGTAGCACTTTAGCTTGATCTTTCGAGGACAGTTGGTTTTGTATTGTTTCAGTGAAAATATAACGGTAGTGGATTTCTCTATATGGTATTTTTTTTTTTTTTTTCGGACAAAACATGGAATAGTTTGACATGGAGAGAGGGAGGAAGAAAACAAACTCAATTGTAATGTCCTGTGGTGGTTTTGTAAAATTCTTATTAAATACATAAACTAAAACTAATATTTTATTGATCTTTTTAAAAGTAGTCAAAGTTAAATCACCACACAGCCCCAGGGATGTGCAACAAGCAAAGAGGGTACATTAGAACTATTGAGGAGTTGTGGTCCATGATCTGTATTTTTCAGATTGAAACCAAAAGTGG